TCTAAATAATCCAGATTGACATTACTTGGATGACCATGGCTTAGTGCTATGGAATTCTGAGAATTGTAGATTTGGGAGACATTTGGCCTTTTCTATCAGAGAGCTCTGGTGACACAATAAACGACAAGTCCCAGGATTCCATAGCGTTGAGCCATGGCAGTTAAAGTGGTGTCAACCTGGACTATTTCCACAGCCTAAGTGCTGAGCAATGCCTGGCCATTTTGATTTGGTGAAATACGGGTTTGCCATGGGATTAGTATTCCAATACAGCACTTCTTCATTTGTCACCTAGAAGATTAGGGATAAGAAAGGTGAAATCCAGCAGCACCAACCTTTCAGCATTTATCACAAGACCTGTAGCAAGATGAGACAACACATTCTGCTGCAACCCTGGCTCCTGCTCTGAAATACTGCCCTCACTCCTTTTTTACTATCACTGGAAGCAAACAGAACAGTGAGGTTATATCCATAGTCTGAGCTACATAAAACAGAGTTATTCTAAAGAAAAGCCTTATGTAAGGTTGAAGATAAGAAGGGCAGAGGCATCTGGAACAAAGCAATGCTTTCTGAAAAGTTTCCAGCAGGAAGTAACATTTCTTTGTGGTTTGCAGAAGATTTGGGATGCCAGTAAGAGAAATGGGCTTGCTTGTTCCTTGAAACTGGCCACATCAGCTCCTGGATGAAAGAGGGAGATATATAGTATAATAAGACACTCTGCTGGATCAAATCAATGCCCCATCTAGTCCACCATTTAGTCCCCACATTGGCAATGAGAGGCCCCAATGAAAGGCTCACAAATTGGACAAGAGGGCACCAGTATGTTTGTGCAGCTGCTTGTATTCCATCCCCAGCAACTAATAATCCCAACACAGAAGATAATGCACATACTTCATAACCAGTAGCCACTGATTGTCTTAATTCCCATGAAATTCTCTAATCCTCTGTTAAAGCCATCCAAATCCATAGTCCTTGTGACCTCATGTGGTACTTTGGTCTATTGTTTAATAACAATCTGTGAAATACTTCTTTTTTATGTGTCCTTGATCTTCTGTCAACTGTCTTCCTTGAATGCTCCCATGTCCAACCATTATTAGAAATGGCAGCCTGGGGGTGGGGGGGAGTATCCCTATCCACTTTCTTCACACCAGGCATAATTATATCTACCTCTCATGTATCAACATTCCTTTAAGGTAAAGTATGGTGAGGGGGCCTTCCTTCATAATCCAGCTGTCATTGCTTTAATCTCTGGGGAAAGAAGAGCAGCCAGGCACAGTTCCCCCATTCCTTGGCCCAGGGGCTGGTGAGAGGCCTTTGACTTCATGTGCCAAATGCCACTACTCTGGCCTCTGAGAAAGAAAAGAGGAGACAGCATTTACTGGATTTATCCTCCTCCACCACCATCCTCCTTTTCTTGTGTGGCCTGCCTCATTTAGATTATAAGCCTAAAGGCAGGGAGCTGTCAAGCAGTTTGCCTTGGGAGCCCTTTTTGCTGAAGTGTGGGATATAAACTCTAAAAAAACAAACCATGCCTTCCAATGATCAACTTATGGCAACACCATGAATTTATAGGGCAAGGAATACTCAGAAGTAGTTTGCCATCGCCTCTCTTAAACATACCCCACAGTGCCTGATATTCCTTGGCAATCCCTCCTCCAAGTACAAACCTGGCTGTGATTATCTCCCGAGATCAGGGCTCTGACACTCTCAGGATATCTTGTCATCCATTTATTCTTCTTTTCTTCTAAGCTAAAAAATATTGCAGCATTTCCTCACAAAGGAATAGCTCCAGCCTCTTGAATGTATCCATTGCCCTCTTGCATGCTAACCTTTCCCTCACTTTGTTAATATATTTACAGTGGAATTCTATGATAATCAGTGGGATTTACTCCCAGGTAAGTGTGAATAAGATGGGAGTCACAAGAATACTGGATAAGGCATTAAACACTGAATCTCTGGTGAAGAAGCCATTGAATTGCACATGCTCACTCATGACTGAATACCATTGAGTTTCCAAAGGTTCACAGAGGAATGCTGAGCCACAGTCAGAGATCACGGGCCTTTGCAGACTGCCAGAAATAGTGCACATTAAATTGAGGCACTGCCCTGGCTCAGGGCTAGGGAATTATGGGAACTGTAATTGATTGTGGCACCAGAGCTCTCTGGCAGAGAAGGCTCAATGTCTCAGAAAAAAAATACAATTCCCGTGATTCCCTAGCACTGAGCCAGGGCAATGCCTCAATTTAATGTGCACTATTTCTGGCAGTTTGCAAAGGCCCCACATGGAGCTCTTAGTGGAAGAGTCCAATATGCATGCATTGCTCACCATTTCCCTAGTAGCCCTCATTTCATCTGGGCAGAATGGGAATTTCATTGATCAGAGGCACTGATGGCTCTCAGATCATGTCATAGAAATAGGATGGGTTCAGACAGACACGTTTCCCTCATTAAGACAGTACAATGAGATTGTTCTACTTTCCTACCCCCACCCTGAACCTCAAGAGCCTCTTCACACATCATGTAACTACCGGTATGTAAAGTTTCAGGCTGTGAATGCCACAAATATATCTTTGCAAATACCAATAACAGATATAGGCAAACTAATATGGAATTAAGTCATATAAGAAGCCTCTCTAGAGCCAGTGTGGCATAGTGGCTTGAGTCTTCGACTATGACTCAAGACCAGGATTCGATTCCCAGCTCAGCCATGAAACCCACCGGGTGACCTTGGGCAAGTCACATGCTCTCAGCCTCAGAGGAAAGCAATGGCAAACCTCCTCTAAAGAACTCTTGCCAGGAAAACTCCATTATAGGTTTGCCTTAGGGTCGCTATAAGTTGGAAATGACTTTCAGGCACACAACAACAACAACAACAACAACAACAACAACAACAACAAGAAGCAGTTTCAGTGAGTCTTTCCACCCTTTCCTTCGCCTTCTGGGAATACTGCTGATCTGACTGGTGGACTGGCGCTCCCTACAAACTGAATCTCTGTCCATTGCTATTCAGTATTGTGTTTTATTTCCTTTTCTCCCTCTCTCTGTGTGTAGTTGCTTCCAATGTCTTTTGCTTCACTCCCCTGATACAACTTTCCTTGCCATCTCTAGGCACAGCTATTGCTAAAGAAACTTTGCAGACACAGCCTCCACCTCTCCCATTGAGAATATGTTCCTGCTAAATATATCCCAGTCAACAAGCTCCTGCTACTTTGTTGCAGTATCAGGTAATTTTTTAAGAACAATGAAAAGTTTTGCTTTGTAAATTGGTTAATTTCCCAGATGGAGGAAGTCACAGAGCAATTTCAGAACTTTTTATTTACCCACTGCCTTGCCTCTGTCTTTTCCCTTTTCCTCAGCCCCACTTTTAATAGGCTTTTCTTACTCATCCTCCTTTTCCTCACCAGAGAGAGAATTTTTAAAATGAAGTTTTACAAACTGGTCCTCTAGAGTTGAAACAAACAAAGACGCAAGATTTTTAAAAAAAAATACTAGCTTGTCCAGGAGAGCTACTACAGAAAAGGCAGAAAAATCTGGAATGGATTTCTTTGAAGGAGGGGAAAGACTGCAAATCTTAGACATATAAATGTTGGTTTAGGACACTGATATTTCCTAGTGTTGTACTGAGGCATACTAGGGGAGGGCGGCAATGTTCAATTTTTCAGGGGGTGATATGTAAGGCACTGAGGCTTACAAAGAACCATGCCATCTTTGTCATTCTCTTTAATTCTGTGGAAGAAGCAGGCTTCCACTGCTAAGTGGAAAAGGAAAAACTATACTTATTCAGAGGTACTTCCACTATAGTCTGTGTATGTACATATGTATGTGTGTTTTTGTGTGTGACTATATTGCCATATACTGCTGGCAATTAGAAATATTTTGGGAATAATAAGCCCCAACATAATTTGTGGAAACCTGCATATAGACAGACTCTTACATAAACTGAATTTATACAGCTAAACACTAATGTCATATAGGTAACTCATCAAAGCAATTATTGGAGTGTACATGGATGGTGGAAAGTATGAAATGGTCCTAATTCTCAAGGTACTTTGAGGGAGGAATGTATGATATTAAAATCAGTTTGAGTTTGTTGTATGGATATGTCCAGGGAAACAGACAAAGCAGAATATGCAAAAAGGCTGCAGAAAAATGCTTGAAGAGACAATGATCTTTTTTTCCTGACACTTATCTATGTTTTGTAACACATCTCCTTCTCCCTAATGAGAATGAAAGGTCTGCTTTTAAGATGTGAGTCTTAGCATTTTAAGTTCAGGTCCCATTTGTTTCATTTGGCTCATTTCAGATGGTGGAGCTGGAAGAGATCTCAACTCCTTGGAGTCCAGCAGCTAATCAATATCTGCAAGAAGTTCCAAATGCTGGTGGTTGTGTTTCTCCAAATCCAGAATACTGTGAGATCTTTGACAAGCCTGCAGAGAAGACCAGTGCAATGGAAACATAGCTTGACACCTGGCTCATCTGTTCTCTGTGTCAAACTTCATAACAATATCAAAGTTATCTTTACATGTATGGAAGGGAAGTCATTCTTCCAACAAATATAAAGAAGAAACCTTCTGTATCCAACCATAAGCCCAACTTGTCCAGCAGAGTGTTTCCCACAGTGGTCATATATTCCTCCATTGTAGAGCTATTGAACCTAGAGGATCTATATCTGATAACAACAATCTTCATCAGTAGATCTATCCTCTGTGAATTTATCACACACTCCCTTTTAAAGGCATTCTATAGCCAGTGATTCCTGGAATTAATTATGTGTGGCTATGATTGTCTACTTCTAATGTAGAATTGTTGCTATCCAATACAATGTGTAGCACTTCCCCCCTCCTTTTTTTTTTTTTTTTTTTTTTTTTTTTGAGTGCTGTGTGGCATGTGTACACATTTTTACAGTAGCCACCCACAGTGACCTCAGGTTCTTGTGGTTTTCAGGTTCAAACTCAATATTGGTTCTATACCAAGTTTTTCATTGTATTCTCTAGATATTAATCTGTGTTTGAATTGCATTTAATGGAAATTCACTCTCAAGATTTATCTCTGGATCTTTGCAACTCCTGGAGCTGATCTGAAGTGGAGCAATATGAAGTGCCATAAGTTCAAAATTTGGATTATTTCCAAGGCTAGCAGACAGTGATGATTCTTTTTCATTCTCATTTTTTCCAATGTCACATGCAAAAGAAATTGTAACTTCTATTATAATAGCTATTTTAGATATTTGCTCAGTATTACCAGCTTTGGTTTGTTGAAAACTCTTTTATTGGTTATTACTTTGTTTATTCCAATTCAATGTAATAGTTATTTTCAAGAACTGGGTCAGAAAGACAATATTTGTGATAAGAGTTTGGGTGTAGTTCTTAACTAATTAGTTGGTACTGCACACTCAATTGGCAGGGAATAATTTTTGCAATGTGATAGCGTCCGGCAAGATATTCTTGGTTGGCTAAAGACCAAGGAGCACATGACATGATCTGATATCTCAATGTCTTTTTCTTTACTCCCAAGCAGCCACAGACAGCTTCTAATTTGATCATGGAATTTGCACTCATTTAGGGTGTACTGACCCTTTCTCCCATGATTTTTTGCCAACCAACCTTTCACCATTATCAAATGACATTAACCCATGGAGAAAGATACACACACACATTCTTCAGGATTGATAAGCATTTCTAATAATAAAAGAGAATATCTGTGTATCAAGCAATCATAATTCAACAGACATCTCAACATTTGACAAAGTGTTTTGGTTACCATCCAACCAGAAGGATGAAAATTCAAGGAGAGGCTCACTAGAAATAAAAAGGGGAAGCAGCCATAACTTTTCATGGCTCAGTAAATTCTGGTGTGTGTGTGTGTCTTCAAGTCTCCTCTCAACTTGAATTTCATAGGATTTTCTTTGGCAAGGAATTCTCAGAGGTGGTTTTACCAGTTCCTTAGACTCCTGAAAATCTGATGTAGGGGTGGAGAAACATATGGTCCTGCAGATACCTTTGGACTGCAACTTCCATCAGCTTTAGACAGCAGGTCCAATGGGGAGCATCCCATACACCATGGCAGGGAAGTATGGCTTATAGAGAATTCCTTGATGGCTGACTGGCTGAACTGGATCACACATCTGGACTGGCAACTGTACCACTGAGGAAGTAGAAACTGAAGAAATGCTACTTGCTTTTATATGTTAAGCTGGAATTTGTAAGCTTTAAGCAAACGATTATCACAAGAAAGTCACAAGAAAAATATCTATGTGCCAGACCAAAAAATAAATAAATGTATTTTTACATACAAAAAAGCTATAAATATATTTTAATGGTATGACAAAGTTCACATGAGATACTTGTGGTTGTTTGGCATCCGTTAATGTTTCATTGAAGAAACACTCAACCCACATATCATTTCCCTGGACAGTTTGTCCCCTTGTTCCTGTTTTTAAAGCAACTTACAGTAGCCATCACATTTCACAGGAGTTTGATGTGGCTAGAGGGACTGAAGCTTTCAAAGTTAAAAGGTCAGATATACATGCCTCCTCCATGTTCTTCAAGCTGGGCTGGCTCACCATATTTTGCCATTTGAGGTGAAGGGCAAAAATCACCCCACACCCCCAAGTTCCATGTATGGAAACCAACTGTCAGAAGACTCATATTTAAATAAATCACTCCCCCTTGCACCCAAGGGCAGCAGACTAGCTAGCTTTGGGGTGTGTTTGTAAGGCATGCTCTGTAGTGCATGCACACATAATACAACACATTCCTATTCTTTCCCAACCCCCTGCACCTGCTTCATGAGGCAACTGCCTTACTGTCCCTAACAGCCCTACATCTAAACCATACCAAGATCTAATCTCTTTTCCTCTACTGCTCATGTGTTTAGAAGCTCTGTTCTGTAGCCTAGCAAAAGTCCCACTTGCTCATTCTCTTCCTGGAATTCAGGAGAACTTCCTGGCTTTCCGAAGGAGAGGGTCACACAGTTAGCACCAGGAACAAGTGGTGCATCGTCACATGGGACGTTATCACACGTGGGCCAGAAAGCGATAATAAAGTGGAAATGAGGCATTCTGAAAATAAACCTTGATTCTGCAAATGACTTTCACACGTAATTACCTTAATTGCGAAATTACAGTAAGTTCATGCTAACGTGCATTTAACGTTCACACACAAGTGAGAAAAGCCCATAAATGTACTAGAAATGATTTTCTTGCACATGTGCAGATAGAGGAATGCTCGCCATGGAACCATGGGAAAAAGCAGGGAAATGCTCCCAAATGCGCATTTGCTTTTTACATTTCAAAAGATCTCGGATAACACCAGTTTCTGTCCAGTTTCTGTGTGACGTCATGTGAAATCGTGAGGCACAAATCCAGTTTTTTGGGATTTGTGTGGATTAACCAGCGGATTTCCCCTGTGTGATAACGTCCCTGGTTTGCTAGCTTCACAAGCACTCCCAGAAGCCCTGGCTTGAGTCAAACATTGGTTCTTCTAACCTTGGTTGCAGAAGACAGCTAGATCAGTGAAAATCCTGCTCAATGGAGATTTGATGGGCATCCTCTACTAGGTTCCTAGTGAGTGGAGGAGAGATGCAGGGCATTTTTTAAAAAATTGCCAGACACATCAGCAGCTCAGCAGGGATTCTGAAGCAGTTGCCATCAAGAGAAGTTAGAATTGTTGCCCAAGAAGAGGGATTTGTGGGTGGGGAGGATTTCTGA